TTTACTCATGTCACATTTTTTCAAATTATTTCAACTGTTTTTAGCTTCATTTGAAATCCTTGAAGATACACCATTCAAATTTGGAACACTCTTCTCTTTTTGCAAAACTCTTTTTTCCATTAATTATAGTAAAATTGATTGATTATAGATTGACTATAGTAAAACATGCTTTAAGCCAAATTGTGTTTCCAAAACCTTGGGTTTGACACATTTCACAACCAATTTTCAACCCAATGAAATTCATATACAACAATGTGTCTCTGAAGATCACAGTGCAAAACTAAACAAAGAAAAGGAATTGTTTCAAACACGTGCCCCTTTCACATTTTTTCTTGATGTAACAAACATTTTCTTATGATTTATCCCAAGCCAAGTCCACCTGTTGATTTACTAGAAGAGAAAGATGACGGGAAACTCATGACCATCCAGGAAGATGTGTTGGTAGCAATGCTGAGGGCTATAGTACTGGATCTAATGGAAGGTAAATCCAATATACTCAGCCTCGATAGTCTCAAAATTCCATCCAGGACCGTACTTATCTTTTGTTACATTACATAATTCTCTCCTTTCACTAGATTTTCTTGATCTAATTTGTACCTCCATTTTTATTTGTGGTTTATCCTAATAGATCAGTGAACTGCCGGGCTCTTGAACAGATGAGATGGGACAACCAGCCAGCAACTGGTCAGGAAGCTGATGTCTGTGACAGTGTTTGAGTGAAGGTAAGGCTGTGAAAGGCATTTTGTATACCGAAAATTGGGGAGTTTGAAAGTGGATAAGACTCACTTGAGCTCCAGATATTGTTCCTTTAGTCTGGTTATGGCAGTGACAGATTATGACAGTGACAAGAGTCTTCAAGTTCCATCATGAGATTTATGTTTGACTTCCAGGGTAGTCCCAAACCAGGATCCTTGAAATGATCCTTTACCATCGAACCTCATGAATAAGAGATCCTTCAGACTTGGCAAATTAGCTTGTTGAATAGGAACCTTGTATTATCAGGAATAAAGGACGAAAAACAAAGGATTAAGACCTGGAAATTTTTATAAGCAAAATCTTGTATTAACTGTACTCTTATTAACGAGGTACAACTGCACTTTGTAAAAATTTCTTTCCCCCTGCTTTTTCTGTCCATTATGTTAATTTTCTGTGCTCCTTTTTTCGTAGCGTCTGGTTTTGGTAGATGGCATGCCATTCTGGAGCATTTAGCAGCTGAAGAAACCTCTGGCAGCTGGAGTGATACAACCATACCATGATGTCCTTAACAGTCTTGAATACTAGCCACTTTTTAGTTTGTTATTGAGTGGAAATCATGTAACACGCATTGTGTTAACTTTGTATGTAGTTAACTTGTCCCACTGGGATACAATTCATTTTGCTCTGACGGCAACCGTGGTAATATGTTGGCAAAGAAGCTTATTTCAATCTTTATCAAGCTGGATTTAGTATTCAGATTTCCATCTTGCCAGTTTCTTACATGATTAACTACAGTACTTCTCATGGCTGTGATTCAATTCCTTTGGCTTTTATTTTCACAATAAATTAAGCACTTATTTTAAACTTGTTTTTGCTTGAAGACATGCCCTCATCCTTACATTGGCCTTTTCATCAGTGAATTGTTTGAAGATGTCATTTTTATATCCACTGATATTTATTAGTTGCATTATCTTTCCAGTTGATGGTGAAATTGGTAACTGTGTGAACTTCCGAACTAAATGCACATGTTGGTCTGCAGAAATGTTTGGTATTCTTAAAAGTTTGGCTTTTGATAAAATGCTGCCTGCAATGACTTCCAATTTGCTAACCCTCTTCCTCATTGCTATCTAGATTTCAACTTCAGTGTTCATATTTTAAAAACTTTGTTTCTGTGAAATCTTGAGTTTAGCGTACTACAGCAAATGGGATCAGAAACAAAACGTAATTTTTCAACAACTGAATGGACTTTGTTTACAATATTCAAATTGTGTATATATGGTCAATTCTGAAATAAATGTTTCATAAGGAATTCTTTGCTGTTGCATTAAGTCATTTCTTTGCATTAAATTATATTCAGGAATTGCAATTGCTTTTCTGTCGTGAAGGCTAACCCCTTGATGTTTTAATCAATTTGGGTCAAAAAATTCCGAGTGCTGAATTTGCTTCAAACTGGCATAAAAAGATACCTGCAACTCCTTGGAACACATTCTGAGTCGTCTACAAGCATTTTGGAGAGGTTTGAAGAAAATTCAAAATTTGGTCCAAATTTTATAAAAATGCAAGGCTAACCCCTTGCCA